CACAGACTGGCCTGGTCAGGTAATAGACTGGCCTGGTCAGGTAACAGACTGGCCTGGTCAGGTAACAGACTGGCCTGGTCAGGTAACAGACTGGCCTGGTCAGGTAACAGACTGGCCTGGTCAGGTAACACAGACTGGCCTGGTCAGGTAATAGACTGGCCTGGTCAGGTAACATACTGGCCTGGTCAGGTAACAGACTGGCCTGGTCAGGTAACAGACTGGCCTGGTTAGGTAACATAGACTTGCCTGGTTAGGTAGCAGACTGGCTTGGTTAGGTAACAGACTGGCCTGGTCAGGTAACAGACTGGCCTGGTCAGGTAACAGACTGGCCTAGTCAGGTAACAGACTGGCCTAGTCAGGTATTATAGGATCCAGATGTTATGAAAAAAATACTGAAGCAACTGGATTACTGTGGCTCCCTAATTTGTTACAGTATTAGAATTAAAGTCAGTATAAACCAAGTGTGTTAGACCAAACATGTTAGACCAAATGTGTTAGACCAAGTGTGTTAGCTCAAGTGTGTTAGACCAAATGTGTTAAACCAAGTGTGTGAGACCAAGTGTGTTAGACCAAATGTGTTAGATCAAGTGTGTTAGACCAAATGTGTTAGACCAAGTGTGTTAGATCAAGTGTATTAGACCGAATGTGTTAGACCAATTGTGTTAGACGAAATTTTTAGACCAAGTGTGTTAGTCCAAATGTTTTAGACCAAATGTGTTAGACCAAATATGTGCAATATATCCATCATCTAAAATAACTGATGCCAATATCAAATTTCTACTATCTTGTCTAAAATATAGTTTTTCATCAATATCTTCAAAGATTTTTATTAGTGTACTTAATTTTAGAAACAAAGTGCCCAATTTATTTCAAACTATCATTAATGCAACGGCTGAGATAAAATTGTATACTTAATGTTAGAAAGAGATTTTCAGTTTTTTAAACTAAAAAATGTTTCTAGATGATAAAAGGTGTGAAGGGGATTGTTAGTATCCTTCTTAGTGCCAAGATATCTAAGCTCTAATCATGATTTAAATTTGTTATAGTATTAAAAAAATATGACCATCAAAAAAGCTTTACAGGATGAAGCATTTGTAAATTATAATGGAAAATTTACAATTTATTGAAACTATTATTAACAATAAACAATGGAAGAATCTTACAAAATGAATGTCACTGCCAATGAGAAGCACACGAAAATTTTATTTAACAAACTTAATAAAATCACCAAATATTTTTAAATTAATGAAATAAAAAAATATGTCCAAAAGATGGTGGAAATTATTTTCCACTGAAAGAAATCTAATTAACAGTATTGGCCTGCAACAGTAAATCAATCTAAAGTATCTAAAATGTACGCTTATTATTAATATCTCCAAGTAATAGTGCATTTAATTTGAGGTACATATTCAAGAGTGTTTCAATTTTTCCTGGAAAACACAGTGCTGTTATAACTTTTCATGTTCTCCTAATTTCAACACACCACAAATTCATAAAAGCATCAATTACTTTTGCCTACTCATGAATTTATAAAAGCATCAATTACTTTTGCCTATTCATAAAGATAATGTACTTCCTTAAATTAAAATTCACCAAATATGATTGGTACCAAAAGAAAATTGTAATTAATATTTTTGTAATCACTATCTACTCACCTTACAAAACATTTAATGAAAAATGTATTATAAAATTAGATACACCAAATGAGAAAACCAAAGATTAGAATGAAAATAAGTTTTTTTTAAACATGTTCTACCTAGATTCTTTCAACCTGCATACGAAACTTTTACCAAATATAAATAAAACTTCATTACTGGCATGAAATTGTACCTACCATCCAGAAAACTAGGTCACGGTTATAAAGGTTTAATTTTTGATAAGCAATGCATTGGTTCTGGTAGTCAAAGTTGAACATTTGCAAGGTAATGTTGAACTTTTGGTAGTCAAGTTTTAATTTTTGGAAAGTAAGCCTGACCAGTGAAAGTTTAACTTTTGATAGGCATGGTTGGAGTTTCAATAGGCATTGTTAAATTTTTGGTAGGCATGGTTGAGCTTTTGAAATACAAGGTTGAACTTTTGTCAGGCATAGTTGAATTTTTGGAGGTCAAGGTTGAACTTTTGGTAGCCAAGGTCAAAGTTTTGGATTACAAAGTTGAGCATTTGGTGGCCATGATAAAAATTTTGTTAGGTAAGGTTGAACCTTTGGTAACCATGACAACTTTTGCTGGGGAGTGTTGAGCTTTTAGTGGCCATTAAACTGAACTTTTCTTGGGGAATTATTAATATAATATACTCTACAAACATGTATCCTAAAAGCCAAACAATATATGTCAGCAAAAGCAAATTGAGTCATCAATGTTAGCATATAAAAAATCTGAGGATAGGAGAGAAAATAAAACAAAACACTGGGTCAACAATTCCAACTATAATTGGAATATTTATTTTACACATGAAGTCTGAAGAAGTTTAAAATTTATTTTACAAAAAGCTTTAAATATCAAATGCATGGTCTAGCACTATAATGGCTTCTGGTGAAGATGTTAGTAAACTGTACTGGTTCCTGATCTATTTAAGACTAAGCTGTTTACATGGATATATATCAACCATGAACAAATCTATCCATCTGATGTAAATGTGTTAAGAGATGAAATAAACATGGAATATTTGTGTAGTAGACTATTGTATACTACTGAAAGCCATTTTTGACAGATTTCCAGCAGTGTTAATTTGACTGAGACTGACAGCAGTATTAATTTGACTGAGATTACCAGCAATGTTAATTTGACTGAGACTGCCAGTAGTGCTAATTTGACTGAGAACTGTTAATTTGACTGAGATTACCAGCAATGTAAATTTGAATGAGTATACCAGCATTGCTAATTTTGACTAAGATTAACAGCAGTGTTGATTTGACAGATTACCAGCAGTATTAATTTTACTGAGACTGCCAGCAGTGTTAATTTGACCTAGACTGCCAGCAGTGTTAATTTGACTGAGATTGCCAGCAGTATTAATTTGACTGAGCCTGCAAGCAATGCTAATTTGACTGAGACTGCCAGCAGTATTAATTTGACTGAGACTGCCAGCAGTATTAATTTGACTGAGACTGCCAGCAGTGTTAATTTGATGGTCCTGCAAGCAATGCTAATTTGACTGAGACTGCCAGCAGTGTTAATTTGACTGAGACTGCCAGCAGTGTTAATTTGACTGAGACTGCCAGCAGTATTAATTTGACTGAGACTGCCAGCAGTATTAATTTGACTGAGACTGCCAGCAGTGTTAATTTGACTGTGCCTGCAAGCAGTGTTAATTTGACTGAGATTGCCAGCAGTATTAATTTGACTGAGACTGCCAGCATTGTTAATTTGACTGAGACTGCCAGCAGTGTTAATTTGACTGAGACTGCAAGCAATGTTAATTTCCAGGTTGCCCCTTGTGCCTTTAAGCAAGTAGTCATGATAACACCTACACCTACATCTATATATATATATATATATATATATATATATATATATATATATATATATATATATATATATATATATATATATATATATATATATATATATATCACTGTAATGACAGAGTTAGAAAGTTGGAAATATCTGATATGGTGAATGCTGAATACAAAGTTAGTGAAGACAATACAATTATGTCTGTTCAGATTTAAGTACTACAGGTCACATTAAATAAATAAATGGTTTCATTGCCCCAACATTTGATACCAGTACAGGAGTGATTGACAGTCTGACTGGTGAAGTGTAAATAAGGCACAAGAAAATGGACTAATCACACAGATAATGATCCCAAATGAAAGGATGTCTTTAAAGTTACAAAATAGAAAACTAAGATCACCTTCATTAGCAACAGTGGAGCAATTTTAAAGAGTTATGGGTAGGAATGCTATTTCAACTTATATCTGTAGACAATAGCTGTATGTAGTTATGAGAATGGGATCACTGAAGTTATGTTAAAGAATTTAATGTACATGTGGATAATATTTGTGTTGCAGTAACTGTGAAATGGATCCTCTTAATTTTCCCTCAAGGGGCTCTAAAGGCCTCATTTCTTGGAAAGTTGGCATGTTCCCTCAAGGGGCTCTAAAGGCCTCATTTCTTGGAATGTTGACATGTCCCCTCATGGGGCTGTAAAGGCCTCAGTTCTTTGAATGTTGGCATGTTCCCTCAAGGGGCTGTAAAGACCTCATTTCTTGGAAAGTTGGCATGTTCCCTCATGGAGCTGTAGAGGCCTCATTTCTTGGAATGTTGGCATGTTCCCTCAAGGGGCTGTAAAGGCCTCATTTCTTGGAATGTTGGCATGTTCCTTCAAAGGGCTGTAAAGGCCTTATTTCTTTGCACGTTGGCATGTTCCCTCATGGGATTGTAAAGGCCTCATTTCTTGGAAAGTTGGCATGTTCCATCAAAGGGGAAATGTCTCATTTCTTGGAAAGTTGGTATGTTCCCTCATGGGGCTGTAAAGGACTCATTTCTTGGAAAGTTGGCAAAAGGACTGTGCTAGTAAATGAATTAGCTTCCATGTGGAATAATTGGCTATGATAAAGTAGTTATTTTGGCATACTCAAGCTAGCATCAATTTTTATTGGTTTCATACATTTCATTGATGATAATGACTCTGTCTTTCCTGAACAAATTAGTCAAGAGACAACTAAAGAAATTATAAACAACAAAAAAAAAACATTAATATACATCATTACTTGGACAGTGCAACAAAATTGTTAATTTAGGAAAAAACTATTGTCATTATATAAGACTAATGAGTCTTTTAATGCCAATTTATACTTGCAATAAATCATGACCCAGAATTCTTAAAAACCTCAGAGTAAAAACCTCAAATTCTAACTCCAAACTACATCTGATTTAGAACATACACCTAAGACATTGAAATTTAACAGGTAAAACACACAAGAACATATCCCACAAGCAAAGTGTAACTTTATTCTATGTACGTCATAATGGCTGGTTGGTTTAACCTCACATGGATGCCACTATTGATATCAAACTCAGGACCTTTGGATTAAGAGTCCAATGCTCTACCAACTGAGCTACTGTGACTCCTTCCGAGTCATGAAAAGGAAAAATTTTCTGACTTATAAATTACTCTCTACCAAGATTTTGCATAGTGCTTGCTCACTTTAAAGCACCTTGATATACTTGCTCACTTTAAAGCACCTTGATATACTTGCTCACTTTAAAGCACCTTGATATACTTGCTCACTTTAAAGCACCTTGATATACTACCAAACATCTAACATAATATCCCTATGGATGCCATTAAAGGGTTTGGCTTTCAAAATTCATATGACACATACTTGTATTTGAGTTAGATCCAACTGCATAAATCAAGATCTACCAACACTTACTGTTCTGGCAGATCTGAATCTATGCAGTGTCATGAGTAATCAATAGTACCAAATACACAGATCCTGATCTGCCATTGTATAATGTGATGGCAGATCTGAATCTATGCAGTGTCATGAGTAATCAATAGTACCAAATACACAGATCCTGATTTGCCAGTGTATAATGTGATGGCAGATCAGAATCTATGCAGTGTCATGAGTAATCAGTAGAACCAAATACACAGATCATGATCTGCCAGTGTATAATGTGATGGCAGATCTGAATCTATGCAGTTTCATTAGCAATCAATAGTACCAAATACACAGATCCTGATCTGCCATTGTATAATGTAATGGCAGATTTTAATCTATGCAGTGTCATGAGCAATCAATAGCACCAAATACACAGATCCTGATCTGCCATTGTATAATATGATGGTAGATCAGAATCTATGCAGTGTCATGAGTAATCAATAGTACCAAATACACAGATCCTGATCTGCCATTGTGTAATGTGATGGCAGATTTGAATCTATGCAGTGTCATGAGTAATCAATAGCACCAAATACACAGATCCTGATCTGCCAGTGTATAATATGATGGTAGATCTGAATCTATGCAGTGTCATGAGTAATCAATAGCACCAAATACACAGATCCTGATCTGCCAGTGTATAATGTGATGGCAGATCAGAATCTATGCAGTGTCATGAGTAATCTGTAGAACCAAATACACAGATCCTGATCTGCCAGTGTATAATGTGATGGCAGATCATAGTTGGAACATCCCTCTATATAAAGAGTCCTCACTTGTAATGCCACTCACTTTTACATCTCATATGAGCAACGTCATATACTTAAGCTGAATCCCTATGATATCCAATATCCAATATCACAGTAGTATCCAATGATACCCAATATCACAGTAGTATCCAATAATACCCAATATTCAATAATACAGTAATATCCAATAATACTCAATATCCAATATCACCATAGAATCCAATAATACCCAATATCCAAGTAGTATCCAATAATATCCAATATCACAGTAGTATCCAATAATATCCAATAACATAGTAGTATCCAATAATACTCAATATCCAATATCATAGTGTAAAGGAGCAAATTTTTCTGTTGATTTCCATTTTGTTGTTGGTCTCTGTAAAAAACAGTTAGACATGTGTATGTGTATATATATATAAACTGGATAACCCTAATCTTAGTCTTATACTCAACATCCAATTTCACAGTAGTATCCACTGATACCCATAACAGATGCTGCTTGCTGTAACTGCTGGAATTCTTCAAATCTGTTTGAAATTTTATCAAATGTAACAGGTCCCCACAAGGAAACTCATTCCAGCTTGAAATAATAGTTACTGGAGTCAAACAGACCTCCCTCCCCCAGCTTTTACTCTGGTCTTAGGTACAGAAAATAAATCAAATTTGAAATGCACCACTTACCTGTGAAAATGAAAATAAGGGAAAAGAAGCCAGTCATGTCCTGTACCTGTATCACCTACTCTTCCTCCATACTTTGATAATGAGGGTAATAATACATAGAAAAGTTTTTAATGAAGCTATATTCAAATTTAAATACTGTGGGATAAAATGGTTTGGACAGATGGAAAGATGGAAGGACACACACATGGACGCCAAATTGATCATTATTTACAGCTTCCAACAAGATGTGATCAATAAAAATTTGCTTATGCCAAATATCTTCTAAACCTAATAAAAATTAAAGATGATAACAATTTCAGCATTTCTAGATTTTTTTGCGCAAAATAAATATTTTTAAATTTACAAATAATTTGAGAAAAAGCAATGCTTCAAAAATTGTATCTTTTTCACATTACAGTATAGTTAGGTTAATAAGAGATGAGAAAAGTTCAAAATGTGGAAAATGTGTTTTGTCTCCCATCACTGTTTCTTGATTCATTCCTTATTCTTCCTTTTGTGAAACATCAATCCAAGTGGAAAGTACAAGTTTGTTTTTATTTGGTATTTTATGGCACAGTATTATAAGTATGTTATGTTCATACTTATTTACTGTAAATATATTTTTTTTATTATGAAGTACATCAAAACAAATGTTACTTAGGAAATTGGAAAAAAAGTCTCTTACTGAAAGACACACCACAGTAGCCAGCATGGGCTTTTCTTAGGATTTGAACCCAGACCTGATGACTGAACAATCTTGTTTCCTGCCTATGTTTTATGTTGACTCTTGAAACAGAGTAGAAGGGTTCATGAGACCTATTCTACATCACTGATAATGCATGGGAAGGAACAAGAAACCAGTCCTATATGAGTCAGGTTACAATAATACAAGATGATTTGTGGGAGTTTGACTAATAAGAAACATAAATTCACTGGGCAATAGTTGGATCCAAGACATGATGACAGGGGAGATAAAACAAATTATCATGTGGATTCATATAACAATAAGTAGTAATAAAACAGTCATAACTGCCAGATGATTTGTCAATGTTACACTTCTTCTAGAAAGACAAAAAGTTTGACTATAGCACAAATCAATCTAATAACCAGACATGTCTTCACCTTACACTAATGTCCAAGGCATAAAAACTGACCTAAAAGTGCACCCTAAATAAGCTTTGATTGACTGTCAAGGTTAACACTTCTCAACCTGGAATCTTTGATCTATGAAAGCCATCAAAGTTAATAAATCATTTATCTGAAACTGCTATTGTACTGCTGTCCTAAGAAGCCATGCCACTGGGCCAACTATCTCTTGCTTACAATAAACCAGAAATTCAGTGACAGTGGTGCAGAAAATATATGTGGCTTAAAGTTAATTACAAATGGTAATTTGTGGGTAATTTAAATTACCATCAAAGAAATCAAATTAGCATCATGTAGAGAAACCACCCCTTCTGTCAATTAAAAATGGCTCTTTCAACGAATGGTTTCTCAATTAAGGCCATTAGTCATGATATATTAAAATAATTATTAATGATTTTAAATAATTTTTTATAAATGATTCAGTTAATTAGATAATTGGCAGCCATGTTCTCCCGCTGACCAGTACCAAACATCTCCAGTTTTGGTGATAATTCCATGAATTCTGGGAAACAGAGGCTAATTTAAAAGTAGTTCTCTCTCATATGACTCCATTCTATGGCAGTCACAGTGTATACCACCTTATAACACTATTATTGGGAGCCAAGGAGTATTCTACTTTAGAGAGAATTTACCTTGTAATAAAGTATGATAGATATAATACTTCCATCATTATATCACTGGCATTGGGGGCCATTCCACCTTATATTGGTGCTGCCTTATAATAAAGTACATGATACAAATAATAATCCCTCATTATAACACTGCCATTGCAAGCCATGGAATATTCAACCATAGAAACTACATTATAATTAGGTGTATGATACATATAATGCTCCCTTATTATAATACTGCCATTGGGAGAAAAGGAGTATTCAACTTTAGAGACTTCATTATAATGAGGTATATGATACATATAACACTGCCACTGTGAGCCATGGAGTATTCCACCATAGAGACTACATAATGATGAGGTGAATGATAAATATCATGCTCCCTTACTATAACATCACCATTGTCAGCCATGGAATATTCCACCATAGAGATCACATTATAATGAGGTGCATGATATCTATGATGCTCCCTTATTAAAACACTGCCACTGGAGATATGTATTAATGACATAAACTTATTAAGACTAAAATGTATGCATAACACTCCCTCAGTATAGGGCCCTTTATTATAACACAGTTCCTTTTATAATGTGGGAAGGATCATTGATCCCATTTTATTCTTTAAGAAGGCTATTATAATGTACATTTTTAAAAGGTGACATGTTCCATGACTCCAAAAAACAGCATTATTTTAAGAGAGCAAGAGCCAAGATGGGGGTGTATAAGTGTTTTGAAAGCAAGACTAGAGAAAAAGGAATTAATTGGAACATAAAGGTATAGTTTTGAAAGCAAGACTAGAGAAAAGGAATTAATTTGAACATAAAGGTATAGCTTTGAAAGCAAGACTAGAGAAAAAGGGAAAAAGGAATTAATTGGAACATAAAGGTATAGTTTTGAAAGCAAGACTAGAGAAAAGGAATTAATTTGAACATAAAGGTATAGCTTTGAAAGCAAGACTAGAGAAAAAGGGAAAAAGGAATTAATTGGAACATAAAGGTATAGTTTTGAAAGCAAGACTAGAGAAAAAGGAATTAATTGGAACATAAAGGTATAGTTTTGAAAGCAAGACTAGAGAAAAAGGAATTAATCTGAACATGCATGTAATGTTTTAACACTAAAGTTTCTTGTACACTTTGTGACTTGGTGGTGTGAAAACAGACAATAAACCATATCTTTCACATAGTGATTGTATGTTTTTTTGGTTTTTAAGGTTACTTTCTTATTAACTAAATTGCCATGGAGCTAAATGCCTTTTTAAAAAGCACATAGAGGCAGCAGCATATTGTCTGTCCTTGGCAGGTATCAAACCTGCAAATCTTAGATTACAAATCCAGTGTTCTTCCAACTGACCCATCATAGCTCCCTCTTAAGTTGGAATTAGTGTATATTCCTGTTCAAGAGATGCAGGTGCCCCTTTTGTTAACAGGATTTAATTCACAATTATTAATGTAAGTGTACATATAAAACCTTGTCAAAAGCAACATAGATAAAGGAAGGCATGATAATGGGAA